ACTTCCTTCCTGCCCCCTAGATTATAATAATACATAGATTATGTTGATTAAAATCCTAGTAGTAGTATTATTAATAATTACATTTGTTTAACACCGCCCCCCATATCTGTAGATCTCAGGGCAATTCACAACATAAAATTACAAGTTTTCTTCTCCCTCTCGAATAGACTATACAGGACGTTCAAGGACAGCAAATATTTATATATGTTGATGGAAGCCTGTTTAGGTGGAGAGCTTTGGACAATTCTCAGGGACAGGTAAGGGAAACTGCATCATTCCTTTGGATAGGAAATGAAATTCTTCCAGCATACTGAATGGTCACTCTGAAATAAGAATTAGTGAGAATAAACTACTGATAATAGGGAGAAAGTTAGTAACCAGCAGCATTAACATAATAGCACAACAAAGGGAAGAAGGGTATAATAATTATTTACCAAAAGTTACTTTTCTTTTGTCCTTCAAAAAAATTTCAGAAGTAAATTCCTAACCTTTAGTTAAAAAAAAACAAAAAACCACACACACACACTCAAATTGCAAGGTGCTGGGGTTTGTTTATTTACTTTAAAAAACCCTTTGAAATGCTTGTAATTCTTTTTCTCTGATAGTCATGGTATATACTGCCATCTAGCTTTGAAAAGGGTTTATATTTTGCTTTTCCTCAGACCATCCATTAATATTACTTAGTAACTGAAACATTATGGTATCAAAACAGCATTCACCTCTGGAAATAGAAAAAGTTTCAGTAGATTTAAAGGTAATTTCCTGACCAGTTATAAGGCAGAAATAGAAATGTTAACCTATGATTGAAACTCAGCTTACATTGAAATTCAAGGTAGAAGCCGAATTTATATTGGGGAGAAATGCTTGGTACAATATTTAAATGGCTCGTAAATGATTGGATTTTTGAAACACTTTCTAAGCTTCAGCCGAGGGTTTAAAGTGCTCTCTTTAAAGTATTTGTGGGGAATGTAAGAGAAGAATAGTTCTTGAAAACAAGTTTGTACCTGCAGACTTTTTTTCTATTAATGGGGGGTGGGGGGCATACTGCAAACAGCTTGCTAATAAACAGTTTGGAGTATTATTCAAGAATTTAAGATCTAATATTTCCAATTCCTGAAATACAATGTTTGACAGCTGACTGTAATATATACCAATTATTTTCAACCTTGCGGTATGCTCGTGAGAATACTGTGGTATCAATACCTTTCTTTGTTCCCACTGGAATACTTTTATTTTTATTTTTAGTGCAGCATGTGAGGAAGATATTTGTGGCTTTTAAAAAATCATAAGCCTTCAACAACTAAGCAAACAAGCAAAGAAATATGATTCCATGATAACCTTACAGCTGTTTCACAGTAGTGTTTTTCTGGCAGCCAGTGGGGCTGCTGCAGTCAAGCCATTAAATATATGAAATATGCTTTCCTGACACCACAAGTCCTTTAGGTTGTTTTCATATGCATTACATGCTAAAAATGGTTGAACGATGCTTTCTCAGTTTGTAAGGTTTACTGCTGCCAGTGGAGATCAAAGCAATTACTCCACACTTAAAACCCTGTATGTAGTTACACAAGTCACTGCAATGTCCTCCAAATTACTTTTCAGCCATGCAAAAGCAAACCTTTCTTATAGTGCAGACCAAAATTAATCTGATGCCTACCTTCATAATGATGGAGCTTCTAGGTTCTTTGTGTCCCAAATCAGACATGCTCTGTGGTTCTAACTGGCCAGTCCCTGCTATTTTGATCCTTCCCTACAGGGTAAGGGAGGGGGGCAATTGTCACCTAGGATTTAGGTTTCTAAGGAAAATGGACAAAGTGGCTTATGAGTGTTTAGGGTGGTTTGTGAGAGATTAGCGATTGGTGAAGCCTTCTCTAGTATGACTTGTAACCAAGCTCAGCAACCAGGCTCAGCAATTTCCCCCTCCTCCATCCAAACAAAACTGGGGGATATCTAGGCTTATTCTGAACCCAATTACTAGTCAGATTATACTGCAGCATCCACTGTGTCATAACAAGGACCATTAACAGGGTCAGATTCATCCTCAAAATCCCCAAGAGGCCCCAGTACCCATTACCTGCTCAACTAGCAGGCATAGAAGGGAAGGGATGCCTCTTTGCTCCTTTTCACATCCAAACCCTCCAGCACCTGCAGCACACTTCTATATCAGTAGCCCTGTCTCACTGTATGTCAGATGGTAGGGGGATATAGCACTGGGCATCAGGAGATGAGCTGACTGGTTTAAGTTTATATCAGAAGAGAGAGTCCTTAAAATGTTATGTTTTGCCTCTCTGCTTATTCATACACTGGAGCTGGTGTTGTGTAATAGCTAAGACATTGAGCTATGAACCAGGGCTCAATTTTAACCTTTGTCATGAGATGATGTCAATTCATGGTGCCCATGGTGGCAAGTGGCCTTAGGTAAGTTGCTACTGTATTTCATTATCTGCAACATGGAGATTAAAAAAAACACCAAACAGATGTGTTTGTTACAGAAACAATGCGTATGAAATGTTTTAAATACAAATATGTTCATGTGAAGCATAAATGTAAAGCAATGTTGATTTCTCAATCTTTCTCCTCTCACTTCTCACACCCCGTATCCCTGGTTGCAGAGGTTCATTTGAAGATTCTACAACCAGATTTTATACTGCATGTGTGGTAGAAGCTTTTGCCTATCTGCATTCCAAAGGAATCATTTATAGGGACCTCAAGCCAGAAAACCTCATTTTAGATCACCGAGGTTATGCCAAACTGGTGAGTACTCATGATGTTTTTCTTCCAAATAGCAATAAAATATTACATTGAGATGTGCACTGCATTGTAGTTAAGGGTCTGTCTCCTTCGCCATTATAATAAAATGCCTTCTCCAATGGGTTTATAACAGCCATAAAATAGTGCTTCTGGCTGAACAGCAGTACTCAGCTCTGTACTGCCAGGACAAATCAGTTTGTAAAAAGGAGTAGTGAAACCAAATTAATCTCACTGTTTCCGAATCTTAGACGAGCAGAAGTTGAAGTTCACAGTTGGTTTTAAATAGCCTTTGTGGCATTACACTCAGAAATTTATTGTTCATACCACATGATTCCAGTACTAGATAAAGAGCTTGACATCTTCCCCAACATTTCATCCAAAGAAACACTGAATCTATAACGGCTCTTTTTCAAACTATACCTTTGTTATTTCTGCGAATAGTCTGTTATTTCAATCCCCTAGTTTTTGTGTGCTGTGCTACACTATTATCGATAAAAAAAATAATTAGGCCTTAGACATGCCTGACTTATTACATGCTGTTCTTGAAAGAGATCATCATGGCTGCAGATGGGACAATCGTTAAGGCTGATAGGAGTGCCTTTCCTTTTATGCTATAAACCATCAAGTGTTCAAGTACAAACCACACAGAATCACAGAGCTGGAGGAGAGGGCTCATTGCCCATCTAATCCAACCCCTGCTTGATGCAAGAAATCCAGAACTAAAGCGTTCCTAACAGATGGCTGATCAGCCTCTGCTTGAAGACCTCCAGTGAGAGAGAGCTCACCACCCATCTAGGCCATTAGTGCCATTAAGAAGCTTATTCTCATGTTGAGACAAAATCTACTCTCTTGTAACTTACCGTATTTTTCGCACGATTGGACGCACCGGACCATAGGACGCACCTAGTTTTTTGGGGGGGAAATAAAGGAAAAAAATTTCCCCTTTATTCCCCCCCCCCAAAAGCAGGTCAGGGAAACCAAACCAGGTCGAGGAACAGCGGGATAGTGGCGCTGCGCCTCCCTGCTGTCCCCCGAGCTTGTGGGGCTGGCTGATGTCTGCCTGGCGCGCGGGGCGCTCTGCTTCAGGGCGCCCTACCCGCCGGGCGGCAGGCTGCTATCCGCAGCGTGGGGAGCCCTGTGGGGAACTCCTGCAAGGCTCCCCACGCTGCGGATGTCTGCCCGGCGAGAGGGGCGCTCTGCTTCAGGGGCGCTCTGCTTCGACGTCGCGGGGCTCTCCCAGGGCTAGCGAGACCTTGCTGGCACCCAGAAGCTTGGGGCGCGCTGAGCTCCGCACGCCCCAAGCTTCGGGATTAGCGCGGCGCTTCGCTAGCCCTGGGAGAGCCCCGCGACGTCGCGGGGCTCTCCCAGGGCTAGCGAGACCTTGCCGGCCACAGAAGCTTGGGGCGCGCTGTGCTCCGCACGCCCCAAGCTTCGGGATTAATGCAGCTAGCTGTGGGAGAGCTGGGTCTCCCACGGCTAGCGGATAGCTTCCTGGGAAGGCAGGCAGGGGGGAACAAAGACTTTTGCCCCCCGTCGGCCTTCAGAAGGTGTTCCTGCCCCGCCGCCCGGCTTCAGAGGAGCCTTCCGAAGCCGGGCGGCGGCAGGAGGTGTTCCCGCCCCGCCGCCTGGCTTCGGAGGAGGTCCAAGGACAGTGGGGAAGACGCGCTGCGCTTCCCCGCTGTCCCGGAGATTTCCCTATGGGCTTTCGTCTTGCGAAGGAAGCCCATAGGGAAATTCGTTTTGCGAAGCGCCTCCAAAACGGAAAACTCTTTTGTCTAGCGGGTTTTCCGTCTTGCGAGGCGTTCGTCTTGCGGGGCACCACTGTAGAATCATTTTGAAACTAGGGACAGCTGAACCTGTTTAACACTGCTCTACATTATTTATTTACAGGCAAGCCCTGTTTTGTGTGGGGGGTTACATTCTGGGTCATTGCGTGTGTTGGTGGAGTGTGCATAAGCCCGCCCCCACCCCACCCTCTTCCCGATTCGGAAATGGCCCATGCGTGCATGGTTGCACACTTTTTGAATGCAAGCAAAATGGGAGTTGCCTGCATATGGTTAGCTCCTACATAAAATAGCCAATTGTGATGGCTGACGGATGGACAGATCAAGTAATTATTGACCATCTGCAAAACTTGAAGTCTTAAACAAGTGTTATGAACTCATTTATTTTGTTTTTGTACAAATCTTAAGTCTGAAAGATGTTCCTACATAGCTTTCTGTACTTCTGCTTTCTGTGACAGCCCTATATTCTCACTCTGAGTATATTCCCATGAAAGATTTCTTTCTGAACTGGTTTATTCTAAGCAAAGCATGAGCATCTCCTCAAGCCTTTGTGTCTGCATAATTGCTCTTTATTTTTTTCTTTCTTGATGGGTGTGTGAACTTTCATTCACAGGTCGATTTTGGCTTTGCAAAAAAAATAGGATTTGGAAAGAAAACATGGACTTTTTGTGGAACTCCAGAATATGTAGCCCCAGAGATCATCCTGAACAAAGGTCACGACATTTCAGCAGACTACTGGTCACTGGGAATCTTAATGTATGAACTCTTGACTGGCAGGTATGGGCATTGAATTGGAGCTACTGATAAAAATAGATCAGCAAATTAGAGAATATTTCTGCCTTTGTCACTTTGATTAGGAGCACTAGAGGTTCAGAGCTTGCATATGCAATGATTATGCACTCCCCCCCAAAAAAAAGGTGTAAAAACTTATTGTTGAGGCTGCTCATTATTATTTTGCCCTAGTTCACAGTCAACATTCTAGCAAATAAAGGGTATGGAACAGACAGCAGAAGGGGAAAGATTGAACAACTGAGGTGCAGAGTTACAAATTTAAATCTCTTGGTTCTTCTGGCAGCCTTTTGTTGTTGTTTTTTGTACAGCAAACACATATAAAACAGGTCTGTTTTTACACTTCTAAGAGAGGCAGCATAAGCATCTGTCAGGAATGATTTAACAGTGGGTGGCTAACCTGTGGCCTTTCAGAAGCATGGTCAGGGATTGTGGGAGTTGGAGTCCAACAACATCTGGAGCACCACAGCTTAGCCTTTAAAGCAAGCATCCACAATCTCGTCCCTCCAGCTATTTTGGGACTACAACTCCCATCATCCCTCACCACTGGTTCTGTTAACTAGGGATGATGGGAGTTGTAGTCCCAAAACGGGGACTGAACGGCCAAGTTTGGGGATGCCCGCTTTAAAAAGACAATGGATTTCTGTAAAGCAGTTTGAATGCTAAGATGTCGTACTGAAACCATTTCTAATAACAATAGCACACCTTGTGTAATTTCCAGATATTGCAACTTCAGAATACTATGCAATTTGGTAAGCAGACAAATTATCACTTGTCTAGAAATAATAGAATAGTCACAAAAAGTTATTCAGTTTTAACTCATGCAGGACAAAACAATTTCATGATGCTATGGTCTAGGTCCTCATTATTTCAGCATTAGCAAGCTACACTTCACAAAACATGCTAGAAAAATATTGTCCTCCAAAATATGTTTTGGCCATGGTTAGTGGCATATTTTTAAGAACACCAAAGGCCATTATTCAGCTAAACTGTTGTGCTAGTGGAATGTAAAAAGGAAACAGTTGGGGAGTCATTAAGGCACCCTATCCTTTCCTTTTTGTATCCACGAACTTTAAGCACATAGGAATTCTGAACCAACCCCTTTTCTATCTCTCCCCTACAGGAGAGTTTTCAGAATTGTTGTGTGATAAAATCAGGGTCAAATATGTGCATTTTAAAGTACCTTTGACTGTTCCTAGAATTGTGCACTTCTTCAGACCCTAATTCTCAGATTTTTCCAACATGATGCCTATATTGGTTTAATAAATCCATGTAGAACTGGAAAAGTATTCTCATGTTGCAAAAAAGCAAGATTTTCAAGTGAAATCTCATCCCATACATATAGCATGCAAAATTATATGAATACAGCATTATCATAGTACCTGCTCTTGTAAAAAGGCGCAGTTATTTGCCAGATATATAGAAATAGGTTCATCAGTTTATAGATTTACAACTCAGAAGGAATGATGACAAGAGTTGTATTACCTTACACCAAAGAAACACAAAAATTCTGCATTCTGTCATAGTTTAAATAAATAGGCATATCGCATTAAAATGTGTGTTTCCTTGTGTTTAAAGTTGCAGAACTTAATATGTATTTGCTGCTGGTAACATGGGTATTGCTGGTTTTAAGGGCCTACACATCATTCTTTCCCATCCTGATGCCCTCCAGATGTTTTGGACTACAGCTTCCATAAACCCCAGCCATTGAGTAGTAGTCTAAAACAACTGCAGGGCAGCACAATGGGGAAAGCTCCTGTAGATGGTACAGCATCTAGTAACAGCTTGAACGTAACTGCTATATAATGAAAGCTCTTTCAGGAGTTTAACACATTTTTATTGCCTTATCTGACAACATTTGACGACATATTAAAACAGATTTTTAACTTTGGGTTTTTCTTTTCTTTTCTTTAGTCCACCATTCTCAGGCCCAGACCCCATGAAAACTTATAACATCATACTAAGGGGGATTGACATGATTGAATTTCCAAAGAAGATTGCCAAAAATGCTGCTAACCTAACTAAAAAACTATGCAGGTAACATTTTGTAGATTGCATTAGTTTTGTCAAGAAGGGAATGTGAATTAGCACCACAAGTTCTTGCTGTTTTGATGCTGGTTGTATTCTATAGACTTTTTGTGCATGTTTTGGTATTTGGGTTGGTCCTGATGTACTTCTGAATAGATGTTGTTGTTGTTATCAATTCTTTTACCTGCCTTTCACCAGCAGGTCACAGAGTGGATTGCAACAACCTAATGTTCCGAATTAAAGGCAGTTATAAAGCATACTACATTCACAATAATAGGGTGGGTCTTGAAAACACATCTCAGGTGCCAAAGGCCTGGGTGTAAAATAGACATGGTTGAGATTACAGCCTTAGAGTCATACTTGGAGTAGACAGTCCACTCTTTTGATTGTTAGCTCCCTTGCATGCTATTGAGAACAACAGTGGGATAGAGAATGTTTAAATAAATAGAGGACAGTAGAGAATGGAATTACCTGCCAGCTTTTTCATTCCACTCTGTTGTGTGCTGGGGTGGTTTTTTTTTCTTTTTCTTACAGGGACAACCCATCAGAAAGACTAGGGAACTTAAAAAACGGTGTCAAGGATATTCAAAAGCACAAGTACGTATGTTTCAGATGCTGAAAACTTATTACCATCAGTTCACAGGACATTTTCCAGATGGTATAAGAAGCAACAGTCCTGCCCCAGTACTAAATGGAGGGAGAAAATTCTGACAGAAGCAAGGGCAACAGGAGAAGTATATATGCAGTGTTTAGGCTTTCTTTTAGTTTGAAGCTTGAAACAAGTTCATTGCTTATTATGAGGCATCTGCTTTGAATTTAAACTACCTCTAGGCTTTTGGGGTGCAACCAGTCTTTCTTTGTGCAGTCCCTATTCCCACTAATGGGAATTCAATGGACTTGAGCTTTATAGCTCCTAAAACTGGGTGCTATTGGCTCTGTGAGCTATTTGCATTGAAACAAATGCATGGAACGTTGGTTAATATATTGGTGGTTTTTAATTAACAATATCTTCAAAGAACATAATTTATATATTTTTAAAAAATACCAATGCAGGAATAGTTCCCACTCAACATATCATAATGAGGTGCCAAACATCATGCTTTCTGTATAGCACAAAGTCCCATTTTGTTTGACATTTACCATGTATAGAGAAATGCCATTCTTGTTCCTATAGTGCTATATGCAGTGTGACTTTCCACTAGCAGAAGTGGTTGTGGGTGGTGCATAACGAGGCATCCCATTTTCACCACTCCCCCTACCAACTGCCACCCTCTATGCCATATCCCATACAGTTGTAGACAGTTCCCCAACCCTCAGGAGACCTAACGGGGCTGGAAATCCTGCTCCTTGCCTTATATTATCATTTATTTCCCTGTTTTTAGGTGGTTTGAAGGCTTTAACTGGGAAGGTTTAAGAAAAGGTACATTGACACCTCCTATAATACCAAGTGTGAGTATACCATTTATTCTGTTATTTGTTTATACGTGCTAGATTGGAACAGAGAATGAAGAAAGAAATTTGAAACACTCTCTGCTACAACAGCAGCCAGCTTTGGTTGAAAGCCCTGTGGGCCTCCAGCTATACTGGAGCTTATCTATATAAGCATGTTTCTCACCGATGCTGTTGTCAGGGGCATGCATTAAGAGTGCAGTTTTCTCTGACGTTGATGCATCAGAGCTTGTGCACATATGTAGAGATGGAGTCCTGGACTGAGATGTATTTCCAGAGACATTTTGTTTTCTTTTGATTGTAGTAAAGCTGCTTGTTCTTCTTTCCTAGCCAGTTTGCTTTAGGTCTCTTGTGCTTCGCCTTTACTCCTTCCTCCTGTCTCTCCAACATGCCTTTTATTTCCTTCCCAATTGCCAAGTTCCTGCGATTCTATACCAGTGCTAAAGGCTGTGCTTTTGCTGTCAGGCATATATCTACCACCTGCAACTGCTGTACTAACTCCATGCTAGTCCAAATGATAAACCAGGGACTAAGCAGAGTCAAAGCTGATGGCACACTCTCCCCAGCCCCCCCCGGCACACTCTCCCCAGCCCCCCCCACCAAAAAAAGTACAGTAGTGCAAAATAGTTTGCTTTTGGGTACCTCTTCTTTAGTTGTAATCACTTCCTCTCCACCAGTCATACAAAGATTCCTCCAAACACAGTAGTTTATAAGTGACTGAACAGAAGCACAGCTGTTTCTGTACCAGAGCTCCAAACTTCATGGATGTACCTCCAGGTTTCAGTACTGTAGCAGCAGGGAATGAAGCAATGGGAGAAAGCTCTCCATAGTCACCATATACTTGCATACATTCACCTTTTAAGCCCACAGACCTTTCCAAAAGGAGGAATGGTGAAAGCTCTGTTTTAGGGTTTTTCTTTGGATACAATTATTGATATATTTATTTAGATAACAAATATCCTCAGCAACCCTTTCCCCATATTATATAGCTAAGCAATGTATATCCTGAAAGCATGAGCTTCATGACTTAACCAAATTGTGTTTTTCCAACGCTCGGATGAAAGTGAATTTTCGATTTTGATTCATATAGTGAACTATGCTTTAATATTTCATTTTTCTGGTTTTAAGAATTCACTGTGAAAACTGAAGCACCCACTTCCCCATCTGCAACTCATGTGATATGCTGAAAAACAATCCACCAATTTTGAAAATCCCTAAAACAAATACTAAATTACAAACTAAAGCAGAAAATTATGAATGAATTTATCACTTTTAAATGTACAAAACCTTGAAATTTATTTAGGAGTCATGAAGCTTAGTTTTCTGAAAATAGTGGGTTCCCCTCTATCTTTAGGTACCGACTGTTACCTTCTCCCCACTTACCCAAGCAGTCAGAAGTTCCAGGCGCAGCGCTTCCGAGTTTAGTTTCCTTTGGATGAGCGAGCACTGGAGACTTAAGGTGTCTTTGTACTATTTGCTTTATTTCCAAATATCCAAGCAGAACCTAAGTGGAGACAAACAGGCAGTCTTGAAACCTAGAAATTCCATTATGCTGTATGCATCCCTAGGGAGAGAGAGAGCTCCTCCATCACCCCAAGATGCTTTGCCTTCAGCCAACTCAAAACTCTCTTTCCTTCTCTCCATGTTTCCAAATTTAACACTGTCACCTGTTGTTTCTTTTCAAAATATACTTATATGGATAAAATAACATTTCCTTCACTACCAACTTCTGCTGTGGTCAGGGGCTTACCCCCCCCCTGACCCTATAGAAAAAGGAATTATAAGAAATATAAAGGATGCATAGCTAGCTTTATGAATTTGTAAGCTTTATAACTAGTTTTTAACACACAAATGTGCAGTCTCCTGGAGAGGAGCTAAGTCAAGCTTGGCTTCCCAAGTTGTCCAAACTGGGATTTGTGGTTTAGCAGGCTCCTCACTAATTTTGAGCTGTAATCAAGAACAAACCTTGGCTGCAGCATTCATGGAGTCATAGTCTGGCTTACTGTGTCATGCAAACTAGCCCACTGTATCACTGGCTTTCATGTTTATAATACAAACATATATTTTCGTATCTGTGGTGCCCTACGCTTAACCATTGCTATTTGGGCCCAACCGTTTCTAATTACGTCTGTGTTTATTCTGGCCATTGTACTGGTTCTTGTTTTTCTACTGCAACAGCCATTTGTATATAATTCAATAAACAAGTCAATTCTTTTCAAGATTTAGTTAAACAAAGCATGTACTATTTTTATCTGTATGATTATGGCTACATTTGTGCCCCACCTTTTCCTCCAAAGACCTCAAGGTGGTGGCCATGGTTCTCCCCCTCTCCACTTTATTCTCAGAACAAACCTGTGAGGTGGGTTAGGCTGAGAGATGGTGAATTGCCCAAGGTCACCCAGTAAGTTTCATGGCTGAGGTTTTACAAAGTCTCCTTTTGTACCCTGACCCACTCAGCACATTTCTCTCATGTCATTTTATGCCTTTTCCAAACTGCTGAATGCTCCTGAACTGCTGTTTCTCATGCAAAATATTCCAAGACAGTGACAGAGCGTTCATTGCGGGCACAGGGCTGTGCTGTGCCACCTCCCCAGCTGCAGAGTGGGAAGCCCTGTGATCACTCATGTCACCTATGCAAAACCCAGCACTGCTTTGCAAGACTTACAAAAGGGGTGCAGGACTGGCAAGGTGATCTGTTGCATTCTTCTCAAGCCACCCTCCAGTTTGAGAGCAGCTGAGAAGGACGCAACAGGGCAGGGTGCAAAATAGCGCCAGGCTTGCAGGCACTGTGAACTCTTGTGTCCTTCTCATGGCACCGTGAAATGACACAACAGCTCATGACGCACTGTCAGGCCCATGGGGTGGCAGGACATCATAAGAAATATGTCCCCCCCCCAAAAAAAAAAAAACCTGTGCCCATGGCCCCAGCCCCCATGCCTCTGTTCCAAGCATTCATCACAGATCCCATTGCTACAGATAAATTTCTCATCCAAGTGACCATCAACAGCCAGTAAAAACATTTATATTAGTCAGATTGCAAACTATATAACCAGAAAGGCAAAACCCATGACATGCTTGTTCAGGAAATTTAAACAAACAAAACATCTCATGGCAGTTCTATAAATGGAAACTATAGTATCTTGTAGTATCAAAGCTGTTCTTTGGAATTCTCACTGGCAAGCATGAATTTACAGGGATCTGTATACATGAAAACTAATGATTCCAGACAACAGCTTGGGCATAAATCATCATCATCAACAGTACAAAGTCTGTTTTTCCCCCCACTGGACAGGTTGCATCTCCAACAGATACAAGCAATTTTGATAGCTTCCCTGAGGACAACGATGAACCACCACCTGACGACAACTCAGGATGGGACATAGACTTTTAATGTATTTCTCTTACCTGCTTCTGCCTTGCTGAAGACAGCTTCCTGAGACATGGCTGCCAGCAGACCTGAAGGAATTGGGAAGGATTAGTGCTCGGGGTCACCATGATGCCTTGATTGATGCTGCTACAGTAACACTACAGTGGCATTAGGACTTCTTGCTTAGATGACAATAGTGCTCTTCACATGTTTTCTGTTTGAACTTAACATAGCAGTTGACATGGTGGTCCTGAAGCAAAGCCTTTTTCACCAGTAATTAAATGTGTTTTCTATCACTGTAATGAACTCGCTCCAGTCGTAATTTGAAAGTTGATAGAATAAGATGCACATAATTCTAGCTGCAATATCATTGTATTGCTAATTCTGTTCTGAAATGTTAAGTACTGTAGAATCTACAGTGTGGGATCTGGGGTACTCCCAAAAAAGCAAAAGGAGTGTGTTGGGCCTCTTAAAGCGGGCCAACGTATTAAACCAATGAGGACCACAAAGCTATTGGTCTTGGAGTTCATGTCAAAGCAGTGCTATATAGGTTGTCTTTCTTTTCGAGCAGTATTCATGACAAGAATGAATGTTACCCTTTTCCATATTTAATTTCTGATGTGCTTTTCCCCTCCCAAACTGATAAAAAAAGCACAACTGCTACAGTTTTTATTGAACTGTTAAAGCAAGTATGGGTCGGTCGGTTCTCACACGTATCTGAGAACATGGTATATCTAACATTTAATTTTGTTGGTACAGCTACATAAGAGCATGTAGAAGATTATTCATAAAACTACTCATTTTACATATTATATATATATATATAATAACTACATTATAAACAAAGACAAATGTGCTTATCAAAAGGTCCTAGAAAGGAAATGATAGCAGCCAACTGGTCCAATAGGAATTTACACTGAACTTAAAATAACATTTACCTTTTAGAGCCCAAGGAGGGAAAATGCAAGACTCACTGCATACTATATAGGTGCTATGTACATTTTTTAATCCATGAAATAACCAAACATCCACAATCATTTTTCAGGAAAATATGTAGCAAGGAATGTGATTGTCAACTAAAATCTCAAAATAATAGTCACTCACACACACACACACACACACACGTTTTTGCTGCTCCTCCATATAGCATTGCCATCATGTGTTTTGCTTTTTGCCAAATTCTTAGTCCCACTGTTTTCTAGCTGTATTTTGATTATTTATTGCAAACATTAAATAATTCCACTCTCTTTGTGAAACGTAATACAACCACAAGTTATATCAATCAGTCTAAAAAGCATGGAGCTGAAATGTGTGCAGCTGAAATGGGCCACTTCAAAATCCCATTCATTTCAAAGGGAGAGTTGAGTGCATACGGAAATTAATGAGAGTTTAAAATGTTCCCGTTTGGGTGAATCATACTTACTAGGCTTGAGCTTTCTAACATATATGTGTCACTCTTTTGACAGTAATAGATTATAAAAACATAGAATAGTGATAGCAATCTCGGTGAAGACATCTACCAGGAAACATGTACTTCCAATATACTTGCACTGCTAATGCAGCCTTACGTATACAACAGAGTTTTTATTAGTTCAATAAAAAACAACCCCTACAACCCACTTTTAAGATGCCATCACATAATATGAAATGCCACTGAAGATAAACACATCTATCCCCTTGTTCATTTCCGTCAAAGTAACACCACTGCAGTCTCACAATAACCTGAATCCAAAAAAGCAATTTTCATCTCCAGTTTTGCTCTTTATGAGTTAACTTAACCCTCTCTCTTTTTTTTAATCCGTGTTTCTCCTAGCTTCCATCTTTTTTGTACTTACACCTCCCTCCTCCTTGATTTGCCCTTTCCAATATTTCACTTCCTTTGGGATTAAAAGGGCTTAAGTTAAGGCAAAACTAACTTGTTTAACTTACTATAAAATATTGACTTATTAATTGATTCCAGATGGGACTTAAGTTCAACTAACTCACAGGACGATCCAGTGCATGCTTTACTCAGAAGTAAATCCCACTGTTTTCATCCAAAGAAAAGAATGCATATGATAGCAGCCTCAGTGTAGATCCAACCCAATTTGTTTAATTTAATTTTTCAAACCCTCCCTAGGTTATATGCATTCAAAGCCCTAATTGCAACAGCAACTTGCAACAGCACTTTCTGTTAAATGTATGTCACTGCAATTTTTTAAGACTTATATGATTTAGGAAACACAGCAGAATTGTGCTTTCAGTTTGCAATGTTTAGATACAATGCAGTTTTTTTACTAACTCAATATAAACGGCGGAATAGCCCTCAAAATCTTCGTTTCTTAAAAATTAGCAGCTGCTCAATCAACCTTTTCAGTTTCTCAAGGCCGCCAGGCTCCTGGTCTTATACTTTAGAAGAGAACATGTGGGTTTAAGGAGTGAAAAAGAGAAACCATGGCCTTCCTTATATACTTGCACATTTGACATTAGCATAACTCTTTCAGGAGTCATTCCTGCTTGACACTGGTATACATCACAGCAAACTTGCGATCCTATTTCCACCTCATTACTGGTAGAAATAACCAAGATATTTAAGCCCTTTTGGGGGGCAGGAATGCCTTCCCACTATTTGTTGTGGCATCCACCTGATTGATTGTGATAAAACAACCATGCGTATTAGTGGTCAGGAACAACATAACCGCTGGATCTTAGGAAAGAGCACTCTTCTTCCAGTACATAGGAATATTTGTGGGAACACTAGGATCCAACCACAAAGCAAACACAGCAGCACCATCTGCAGTCTACTTCAGAGCTTCCAAAACTTACACCACTATAACATGACAAGTCTTCCCCTACACTGATGCATTTGCACACTCTTCCTCACACAGCTTCTTATGAGCTGCTTAGAGGTGTTCTGGCCAAAACCAGCATCAGCAAGGACTATGAAGCCTTCTTGGCTAGTGAGGTGCAGCTAGACAGAGATATCACCATTTCCTAAGTACTGTACTGGATTGTGCTGAAGCTGAAGGGGCATGCTATTTGTTTGCTTACTACAATTTATCAAACGAGACATAAAGATATATTAAAATATTGCAATTAAAATATGGGTAAGTAAAGCGGAAGGAAGTGAAGTAAAACAAAAATAAAGTGCTACATTATTTAATCCTATAAAATCAGTCTACAGGAGGTACTTTATTGTATACCAGGAATTATTACAGAATCTGCATATGGTAGCTGTAATCACAGACCTTCCAGCATGCAAAAGCTAATTAACCATTGTGGCAATAATCCCAGATAGTGCTGGATGGACCCATAATTTTTCCAGGGGTTAGCAAACTTTTTCAGCAGAGGGCCAGTCCACCGTCCCTCAGACCTTGTCGGGGGCCAGACTGTATTTTTTTTTGGGGGGGGGGGGGATGAACAAATTCCTATGCCCCACAAATAACCCAGAGATGCATTTTAAATGAAAAGACACATTCTACTCATGTAAAAACACACTGATTCCCGGACTGTCCACGGGCTGGATTTAGAAGGTGATTGGGCCAGATCCGGGCCTCGGGCCATGATCTTTTCTGTCCAAATCTGGACAGACTTTTTAAATGAGTAAAAAAATTGGGGGTCAGGATTTTTCTTTGTAAAATTAACCACATTTACCTTGATTTTACCATTTGTCAAAATCATTAAACAGGGTTCTCTTTGCTTGCAAGTGCATGAAATCAAATATGCCACTTCAGAGCTATCCTACAATTTAATCCAACAATTCTTCACATTCATGTAGCTATCAACAACTTGAACAGAGGTTTTCTAAACAGATATACATCATTCTCCAATAAGTAAATATATCAACAGTTTTCTGGAAGAACATAATTTCATGTAACTCAGGCTTCTAAAACTAATAGTCAGCCTCCTGCTTTTTAAAGTATAAACCAATAAAAGACAGCAAAAAGCTTTACATCATCATTTATCATTTCTGCTGCTCATTAAACCAGTATAGCACAGCATTTGTTACATCTGCCAATTACTTTTATACACCATCCAACACATATGCAATTCTAAACTTAAGCATTTGAACACTATCCGAAGCATTTCCTGACATTTTATACAATAGGGCTAGAACATGACTAGTCATCTTGGTCAAAAGTCACCTTGTTTCTACATTGCAGGTGGACTCACTTCTAAAAAGCACTCCCAGAACTCCAGCTTAATTCATACTCCTCCGCTGAGTGAACTTAAATGCAAAACTTGTTCTTTTTGATTAATTGGCTTTTCCTGGTTATAAACACGAGAACATGCTATTTCCACTCTAAATAGCTCAAATGACAATGTGTTAAACTAAAAGCATTCAGCTGAAGAGTAGGCACACACAAATTTAGTAATAATTATGCAAGGAAAGTTTCAAAGTGAGCTTGGTATGAATTATTAGGCTTGATTCCTTCCGTTTGTCCTTGAGCCGCATTCAATAGTATATAATGGGTGCGGTGTGCACTTAATACAGATTTATTTTTTCATATGACTCACTGGCATCTTCTTCACCAAATGTATTTTAAATATCTTAAGCTAGCATGTGTGTATTAATAAACCCTGCATTTATAAGTAATACATTTTATTCACACATATATATACAAAAGCATATACACACACATTCACATTTCAGTGTACTGCAACTTACAACTGGTGCACATGCTACTCTTTCCATGCAGATCCCACAGGAGAATGGAATACACCCCATGGTGAGTTTTCTGTGCCTGGCTAGGACATGAAGCAGGGCCATACTATTACAGACATCCCTAGCTCCATAACATATCATTAGTAGCTGCAGGCCAAAGTGGAAAAACCACACAATTTGAGGGTGAGGGTGGCAGCCGGGGGGGGGGGAGAATAAGTCAACTACATCCTATGCAGATTAGACCCACTGAAATCAGTGAAGCTAAGTTGATTATGACCATTAACTTCAATGGGTCAACTGCCAAGTAGCACTAGGACTGAATATCACCCAATGACCCAAATCCAAATCACATGGCTGGGAATGAAAGCTTGCCAGCAGTTCTGCTTGGAAATATAGTATGCAGACTACTTATTACTTATGGCTGCAGTCCTCCGATCAATTTGCTCATGAGTAAGGTCCATTCATTTTGGTAGAGTTTACTCCCTATAAACGTGCTTGGGACCTCTGCTTCCCTTTAACATATGAAATGATGGTGTATCTGCATAAAAAAGAAATTTGCTGTCATAATGGAGACACATTTGCTAGAACTGGGTTCTAAAGGTACAGGTAAGCTTTAGCTTATTATTACAGTGCTGCATCATTCACAGAAAATTCTTATTTAATAATAGGACCACAAGCAAATATTTATGTAAATAGATATTTTTTTCGTGTTGATATTTTGTGGTACACATATAGCTTTTTATTTAGAACTTCATTGCATTATTCTTTCATTTTCTTATTTGTAAGGTAATGTTTTTAGATCAAAGTAGACTTGAATTAATGTCATAATTGTCAGTATTACTGAAACTTATGTCAACTGTACCGTTGTCCATCTGTCCCATAGTTTTTAGATCATCATCTAGTTATTTGGCATTGTTGCAAGTGCCTTAAAATTCATGGCATCCTATTTAAAAAAAATACAAATTTGGTGTTATGCTGCATGACAAAGACAAACACACCTCAAAATGTTGTCCTTTCTTAGCTTGCTGCGTTTTACAGTTCTTTCGGCTAACAGTTTATAAGCCTTTATTATATAATATTGATGAATTACAGAAATGATGAAGTTGTTCTCTTATTTCTGTTATAAATGTACCAGAGCTGTGTATCTGTTAATGAGATACAGCGTCATTTCTGTGAAATGTATAAATGTATGTGCAGGTCAAATTAATATATGACATACTATCAGTCTGTATACAGGTATTCCTGTTTTGCTAAGCTGTGCAAATTTTAAAACTGTAGTGCAGTAAAAGTTCTAACATATCACATTTTATAATAGGCTCCATTGCAAAAATATTCCGATCAGACCAATGATTAGCAAACTGACTGTCAAATTTACACCAAACAAAAAAACCATATTATTTCCATTGTGAAACCAATGACTGCAGAAGGAGTGAATCTTGTTGCACCACTGAACAAAACAGGACCAGTGCTTTCTATGAGTTTCCTTGTATATGCAAATGTTTCTGAGACAAACTCTCAGTAGTACACCTAGAAAGCTAAACACTGAAAGTGTGTTATATGTCCTCTTCCTCTGTGAACAGTCCACTCCATAAACAGACCACAGCACTGAGACATTGATGTTTCAGGCTTTAATAGCAAAGGGAAATTGATTCAGCGTTGCCTACTACCGTACTTATTCCAATGTATGCTGTTTTTACACTGGTGGCTTCCTTTATAATCTTAATGGCTATTTTTCCTTTGGTTTTCTTCTTACTGAGGATTCTACATGAAAGAGGAGGATTTAGTTTTGTTTGTCCAAGAATACACTTTCATCAAATGGTCTTTGACCAGTTGCACTCTTTTGATGTAGACTAAAACAAAAACAAAAACTTTTTATCATAAACTTAACTGCTTTTGTTTTGCTCTGTATTTTCCCTGCAGCTGTAATTGCCGAGTGCCTGTTGTATACTTTATAGAGTTGAAATAAAAAAAATTACTTTTGAATATTGTTGCCTTGTTCATATTTCTACCTTCTGATGTGTTTTGAATTGCATTTTAAACAGTTGTTCAGCTGTCAATTCTTACAGCATACAGCAGGGGTCAGCAAACTTTTTTAACAGGAGGCCAGGTCACTGTCCCTCAGACCTTGTGGGGGGCCGGACTATATTTTTTTGGGGGGGGAATGAACGACTTCCTATGCCCCACAAATAACCCAGAGATTCATTTTAAATAAAAGGACACATCCTACTCATGTAAAAACACGCTGATTCCCGGACCATCCGTGGGCCATATTTAGAAGGCGATTGGGCCAGATCCGGTCCCCGGGCCTTTAGTTTGCCTACCCATGGCATACAGTATTGTCCTGCGCTCAGTACTTTCACAACTTTGTGGAATCATATCCTTTACTCTTCATGTCAGGATAAAGATGCTGCGCCTGAAATTAATACACACACAAATTCACACACCCACAAGTCTGTGTGGGTATGAAACCACGTAAAATCTCTTGACAGGCAACTGCTTTTGCAAGGCGGTAGGGAGCCTAATGATATAGCGCATGCCTCTCTGCACACACCCTGAGTCAGCTCCCACTTAACTCATACCCTCCAACATTTCTCCAATGAAAATAGGGATGTCCTGTTTAATAAATAAAGAAATATTTAATAAAACATTAAACATTTAAAAATTCCCTATACAGTGCTGCCTTTGGATGTCTTCTAAAGATTGTATAGTTACTTATCTCACTGGCTTGTGAGTTGCATAACCTTTTTCTCTCCAACATTTCTCTGATGAAAATAGGGATGTCCTAAGGAAAAACGGGATATTCTGGGTTCAGATCAGAAACCAAGACAGTCTCTGTAAATCCAGGACTGGAATCCCTGGAAAATAGGACACTTGGAGTGCCTGTTAACTTCTGTTGCTGCCTCGCTACTACTTATTTAATAATCAATTGGCTCTGTTTAATCAATTAATAAAGCAGATTACATACACCTATTTTGGAATTGTTCTCAAATAGAAATATTCCAGAAATCCGTTCAGGCCAATATCTCTATGGAACTTATGGAACTTAAATGATTTCTGCTTGGTTATCTCAAAGACGTTACTTATTACCAAAGAATATGTGCAAACCAGCCTAACAGGTTTATGGGGAATGGATATGTTTTACAATATTTTGAATCAACAAGTTCATTTATAATGTCTGACTTTATGC